TCTCGTCCGAAGCTCCACTACACTCACCAGCTTATGTGTCCTTTTCTTGTGCTGTGTTATGGAAAGTTAACAATGTGCAAGGATTCTTACTAGGATGGAGATACTAGGCTCTCACAATGACCTTAATTGCCCATACTTTTCTCAGAGACTAACATAAAGGAACCCCCTACCCCACACACACATACTTCATGTCTTTGTTGACCTTCCCCTAACAAAAACATCAAGCATCCAAACATTCATCAGGCCCTAGAATCCCAACCATTTCATCTAAATCCCACCCATAGTATCAGGATTCTCATCTATATCATCTGAATTCCCATCCATACCATATGTATTCCCAGCCATGTCATTTGATTTTCTAATCATGTCATCCAGATTATCAACTGCTTCATCTGGATGTCCAGTCATGTTATCTGGTTGCCTGTCCATATCATCTGGATTCTCATCCATGTCATCTGTGTAGACACTTTCTTAACATGCCGTATATTTAATCTAACTTTAACTTCCCACCCAGACCTTCATTAGAATGTCTAAAAGAGACTTGAGAGAAATCATAGACTGAGAAGTTTAACTTCACATTAATAGTGTCAAAAGTCAGACTTTTATTCAGTTTGGTCTGGTAATAGAATTGGATTTTTTTTTAAATAAACTGATGTTTCTTAAGACTCAAAAATATTTCTTTTCTCTCTTTCCTAAATCCCTTTTTTCAAGCCCCTTCAACATCCTGTTTTAAGCAAATAACTTTATCATTTTGCTGTGGTGATAGACCCTTTCAGACATGAACACATTTGACTTTCTACCATCAAATCCCCAACTAGTTCCAACACATTCCTTCCCACACAAGCAGGGGGTCTTTCCTACATGACTTTTAGATCCTGAACCCCTACCACTCACTCACTCACCTTTTTACGGATGCTCTTTTGCCTAACTAGTTTGTGTGCACTCACACATCTCTATCCTGAAACATTTCCTTGCACAAATATGTTTTAGTAGTCTCGTTTCAAAATGAACTCTCTCTTGCCTCCAATCCCTTCAGCTCTTACCGTTTTACAACTTCTCTTCACAAACTTTTAGAAAACATTATACACTCTTTTTGCATATCCTTACACATCCCACTCCATTCTCTTTGCGATCCACTTCAGCTGGTTTCTGCCTCTACACTAGCAAGCTGTCAATGAAAGTCATTAATAACTTCTAGGTTAAAAAAAATCTAATGATGCTATTGCTGTCTTTACTGGGCTTCCTTATTCCATCATGGCTGATCATATTTCAATATTTATGATTGTTTAACCAAACTCTCCTTGTTGAAACTCTTCCTATTCTTTCATTGTCCTTGACAAGACATTCTCCATATTTTCTTTTTATATGCAAATTTTGTATACTTTCTACTTATAATTTTTTTATACTTCCTTCACTTCATTAATTTTTGTCGTGTTTGCTCTGTATGATTAGTTCTCTGTGACTCCTCATCAGTCCTCTCTTTTTCTGTATTTTATTTATTTATTAAAAGATCACTTTATTGGGGGCTCTTGCAACTCATATTACAATCCATATTATCAATTGGATCAGGCATATTTGTACATCTGTTGCCATCATTCTTTTCCAGACATTTACTTTCTCTTGAGCCCTTGGTATTAGCTCTTTTCCCCTTTGTCTTTTATTTTTTATTCTATTTCTGTGATTAAAATATCATCATCATGATGTTGACGACTCTGATATTTGTAACTCCAGCCTAGTGTGCAACCCTGAGTCTTGGAGTCACTTGTCCCACCGGATATGTTAACTCCGATGTGTCACAGACACTTCCAACTTCCTATGTCTTTCTTTCAGTCTGAAGTATTATTATGACAGATCGTAGGGACCCCATTGCATCACTAACAGTTCAATTTTCTCAAAGACTCTAAGTCTTTCCAAGTCTCATATCATGTTGAGAATAAAACTCAATCCCTTCCTCAAATTTCCCCCTTGAAACCTACAAGTCAAAAAGGCTATTATAAGGCACCAATCAGACAGTTTTCTGATTTGAAATATTCCGAGATAAGATTTGTATACCTTGGTGTGCTTTTGGCATCTCCCATCCTTTCTCCCTTTCTCCCTTTCTCTCTCTCTCTCTCTCTCCTCTCTCTCCTCTCTCCTCCCATCCTTCTCTATCAAGCTTGCTTGGTACTGCTCTGCAGCTTGGTCTTTCTTTGCAGTTCTGTGCAGGCACCTGTTTTCAGATTTCTTGAGTCCTTTTCTTGGGTATATCTTTAAGTTGAATCTAGAAAACTGCCTTGCTAAAAACCTATCCCATAAAACTCAAGTGAGCGTTTTTGTCTGAGAATAGGGTAATAGATAAATTTGAAAGGTAATAGATCAATTATAGAGAGGAAGATTCATACTTCGCCTGCAATCTCAAGCCAGCAAATGAACACAGTCACAGAGTTGAATTATTAAACTCATTTAACTACAGACCCTTGTTTTATTCACTGATCCATTCCTCTAATACTTATTGAGCACTTATTTTCTATTATACATTTTTAGAGTGCAATACTGAAAAAAAAACAGCTCTTGCTTTGATGTGTTTATAAGGAGCTGAATGAGATCAGAAGTGTGCACACACATAAATATACTTAATATGAATTGATAAAGCACGTTATGAAGAAAATATATCAAGAAATAAGGTAGAATATGTGATTCTATTTATATAAAGGCCCAGGAGAATAGTGGGTCAAGAAATGTTAAAATATTTTAAAATATTTTCACATCTCTCAAACCTCACCTAGTCTTTCCCTTTTTAAATTTTTTCCTTAAATCCACTGCTTACAAGTTGATTTGAACATCTGGCTTTTTGAGTAACTGCTCAGCTTTTAACTGCATCAAAAAATGTTTCACATATATCAAATGCTTTTTTTTACATTAAAATAAGAGCTTTAAAATTTCCACTATCTGTACTCATATTTAAAGTCACAATTAATCTCTGAATCTGATGGCTTCCTTGTGCACAAAAATGTATGTGGGAGTTTTTGTCTCATTTTAATAGCATTTTTAAAAATCTCTTATTGTGATTTGGGCAAAGCTTTACAGATCAGTTTACCATTAAATAATATATATCTTGTTTCTTCTCATTAATTGTAATCCTCACAAGGTAACATCACTTATTGTTAACATCACAATGTAACGTTCCTTCTTGTTTTTCCTGTTTCCATCTCCCCTTCTTTTTTAACTTCTCTGAACTTGCTCCTTCAGTAGATGCTGCCCTTTTTATAGCAGAGGGTTGATTATTTTAAAGTGTGCATACCTTATTAGTGTTTATTTCTCCTTTTATAGATCTGATATTTGGCTGAAAACTGAACCACAGGGTGAGTTTAGGTTGGACTGGAAGGGTGATTAAGGGTCCATAGTCCTGAGGATTCTATCACTCTGTGGCCTTTTTTATGATTTTGAGTTTTGCTTTACACTTTTCTCTGACTCTATTCAGGACCTTCTAATGTGATTCCTTTAAAAAAAAGTTGGTGGTGGTAGATGGGCAAAATCTGGTTCTTCTGGTCTCCAGGTCAAGAGACTGATGGTTGTTGTAGTCCATTAGCTCGTTATACTGATTTCATGTCTTTGATATTTCTCACTATTTTTCATTCCAGATAGGGAGAATCCAAAGATAGTGGCTCCCTGGGTGGCTGCTCAGGAACCTTTATGATCCTAGTCAGTACTCACTGAAGAAGGATGTAGATTATTTTCTTGATGTCTTGTATTATTTTCATTGAACTTGGTGTCCCTCAAGATCATGTTCTGAGACTCCAAGTGCAAGGACTGATTCTTGCAAGCTGTTTGGTTATGTTTAGGATTTGACAGGTTTAGTCTCTGCACATTACCACATTGAGTTAGTTAATTGTGCCAGCCTGGCCGATAATCACATGTGGTGCTGGTTGAAAGGCGGAGGGATAAATGGGTGGTGAAGCCTCGCCTTTCTAGTTCTCGGGTCTCTTGTTTTGTGATGGTTGCATCGGGTGCAGCTGCCTTAGCAGTTCCCTGCTTCAGCTTGCAAGATGGATTTCCTACAAGACATCCCCAAGGAGAAGCTGCATGGATCTATCCCGATGCAGCCCTGGGTGCTGGAGCAGCCGTGTGGAGACCCCTGCCAGTGCTGAGATGCTTACACGTTCACTGACTCAGCTTTCCTCCTGCAGTCGGCATTATTGCCTCTGTTTTGTGAGGTGAAGGACTTTGTGGACTGGTGTTGGGTATGGGTTAATGTTGGACTTGTGGGCTTGGGCAGCATTGGGTTGGGATGTTTTCGTGATGCACATTTTCTTTACATAAAACTCGCTCTTATACATGAGTTGCTGTGGATTTGTTTCTCCAAAGTACCCAGACTAATACACACATTCATGGATATATTTGCAGCAACAATAAAAACATATGTCCTCTGCCAAACCTATTTATATTCCTAGGTAAACTGCCTCTACTCAGACTTCACAGTTATTGTAAGATTTTGTCTATAAAAGTTTTACCTGTTACCTTTATATCTTATATTCCTTCAAGTGATTTCCCCTGCCATCATTATTTAACTAGTCTCATTCTTATGGTATATTGCCTTACCCTGCACCCAAGTTAAAATCCGTCTACCCCCTAGCCAATAATTTATCTTCTCTGTCCCTTCTAAACCTGGCACCTTTTCTTGTTTTGTTATGCTTTTTTTATAATAGTAACCTCATACAATATTTGTCCTTTTGTGATTGACCTTTTGTTATTTACCTCAGCACAATGTCTACCAAGTTCACCCAAGTTTGAGATGATTTGCAGATTTGTCATTCTGTAGCATTTCATAGTGGTCCATTATGTGTATGTACCAATGTGCGTTTAGCTATTCTTCCATTGATAGACATCTAAGTTCTCTCCATCTTTTTGCTATTGTGAGTAGCATATATCTATCTGTGTCTCTCTAGGATATATACCAAATATTGGGATTTCTGGGTTATATGGTATTTTTATGTCCAAATTTGGAAACAGTAAAGCATTTTTCACAATTTACCCAACACAGTACATCCTTTGACCTCTGAAATTCCCATTCATTTGAATGTGGTCTGGAATTCATATTCTTCTCAAGGTTATCAGTATTTTTTATGATCCACAAAATTGAATGATTTTGTGTAACAAATAAAACAATAGTAAACATCTTTTTTGGCATCCTTTGCTTTGAACCAAGATCTCTCTGGCATTACCAATGTCAGATTCTGGCCTGAATCTCTGGCACTTCCCTGTCAATGTACTCCTGCAACCCTTGTTGAATGATCTTCAGCAAAAATTTGCCTGTATGTGATATCAATAATACTTTTTTATCATTTGAAAATTCTATTGGGTAACCTTTCTTTGGAATTGTGGTGTTTCCAATGTTTCATAAACTTTTTGAAACCTTTCTTTTGGTATTTAATCAATTCCTGAAGCCTTGCTTTGGGCTGCTTTCAGTGCATCTTGGACTTCTTCCGTTACCATTAGTTATAGATCATGTTACCCCTTGTAATTGTTGAATGTCGACTACTTTTTGGTACAGGGGTGCAGTGTTTCTTTATACTCTTTCCATCTTCTTTTGATGTCTCCAGCATCATTCAATATTTTCCAAAGAATGTTTCAATATTGTGACTTGGGGTTTGGATTTTTCCTTGACTTTCTTCATGTGAAGATATACTTAGTGTGGGTTCTTCTGTTATGGTTTTTGAACTCCAGGTTTTTGCACATTTTATTACAATATTTTACATGGTCTTTTCAAGCTGCCCTTTGAAATGTTCTGTTCATCTCTTTGACTTCATCCTTTCTTCCACGTGCCTCAGTTACTCTGCGATGACGGGCAAGTTTCAGAGTCTCTTCTGACATCCATTTCAATCATTCTTTTCTATCTTTTAAGGGACCTTTTGCTTTCTTCGTGTATCATGTTCTTGATATCATCCCAGAGCTCATTAGGTCCTCTGTCATCCATGCAAATGCATTAAATCTGTTATTGGGATGTCCTCCAAATTCAATGGGGATAAACGCAATGCCATATTTTGCCTCTAGTGGCTTTGTTTTCATTTTCTTCAGCTTCAACCTTTACTCACATGGGAACGATTGAGGGTCTGGTTCCATAATTAGCCCTGCCCTGATTTTAGCTGCTAATATTCAGCTTCTCCATCATCTTTTCCCATGGATGTAGAAAATTTGATTTCTATGTGTTCCACGTGCATAGCCACGTTTTGTGTTGCTGAAAGAATACATTTGTGATGAAGACATTGTTGGTCTGGCAAAATTCTATCATCCAACTTCCAGTTTCATTTCTATATCAAGAGCACATTTTACAAATATGGTTCCTTCCTCTTATCCCCCAACCATTACATTCCAATAGTCAATAATTAGCAATGCATCTTGATTGCATGTTTGACCAATTTCAGACTAAAGATGTTGGGAGAATTCTTCATTACTAGCTTTAGGGGTTGGTGCATAAATATGAATAATATTTGTATTATCTGGATCTCCTTGTATACAAATAGATAATATTATATCACAAACAGCAATCTACTTCAAGACAAATCTTGAAATGCACTTTTTGACAATCAATTGGACACCATTACTCTTGAATCTGCCATTCTCAACATAGTACACCACATGATTTTCTGATTCAAAACAGCCAATATCAGTTGATTTTTGCTCACTCTTGCCTAGAATATTGATCTCTATTTCATCTCTGTTCCATTTCATTTTGAAAGCTTATAATTTCCCTAGATTTATACTTGGTATATTCCAAGTTCCAATTATTAATTGATGTTTGCAGCTATTTCTTATTTTGAGTCATGCCTCACCAGCAAATGAAGGTCCCAAAAGCTTTACTCTCACTGGTTTTATTCCATTCATATCATTATGGTCAACTTTACTTTGGAAGGCAATTCTTTCTCTGTCATCTTTTGAGTGCCTTGGAACCCAAGAAGCTCGTCTCTGGCACTCTATCAGACAATGCTGCGTGTCAGTATTCTACTCCTTACATATGGTTTTCAGTGACTAATTCCTTAGAGGAGGACGGTCTACTCCTTCTCTGTAGTCTGTTCTCAGTCTAGATTCTAGAAGCTCTGCTGAAACCTACTTACTTGTATGGCCTGAGACAGTTAAGGTCTATTGTGCCAACCTGACTGATAAACACATGCGGGATTAATAGAGGTGCGGAGAGATAAATGGCTCCATGAGTCTCACCTTTCTGGTTCTCTGGTGGTTGGACCTGATGGTCGGACCTGTGTGTGACTGCCTTAGCTGGCAAGGACTACTTCCTGCAAACATCCCTGAGCAGAAGTCACATGGAGCTACCCTGATGCAGCTCTGGGTGCTGGAGAAGCTGCATGGAGACCCCTGCCAGCGCTGAGATGGGTAAACCACCACTGGATTCAGAGACATGCTACCCACTGTGATCCTCCTGCATTCGGCGTCATTGTGTGTGTGCTGAGAATTTGAAGAGGACTTTGGAGATCGGTGTCTGACATATGGGCTAAATTGGGCTTATGGGGCTTGGACTGGACTGGGTTGGGATACATTCTGAATGTATACTTACCCTGTTTAGAAAACTCACTCTTATTCAAATTAGTTTCTGTGGATTTGTTTCTCTAGTTTATCCAGACTAACGCAGGTCCATCTAGCATAGCTTCCAGCAAGACAGAAACACACTCGCCACCCCAGTATGACAAACTGACAGACACCCATTGGATGACAGTGGGTTTGTTTGTTTTGTTTTTGAAAACAATTGCATACAAATTTAGCTATAAAGAAATTAGTCCTTATAAATTAAAACAAACAATACATTTTTAGGAAAGTAGCAGTAAAATTTAAATATTTAAAGTTTTAAGTACTCAAGTATGATGGTTCTGTAAAAGATGAAAATAGGAGGTATCATATATGCCAAATTCCATTCGTTCCTACCTTCCATTAGTGCATAGGTTCAGTGGGCTTTGAAATAGTCCAATGGTCATGGAGTCCAAGATGATATATCAGTGGGATAAAATAGCATGAATACTAAATGATATGAGATTCACTTTTACATCCCTGCAATAAGACTGGCCACTTTCTCCAATAAATGTTTGTGACGAGTTACTTTAAATTTGTAATATTGCACTACTATGGTTACAAATGAAACTTTTTTAAAAAAAATCTAAAACGACATACCTATGATCTTAAAAATCCTAAAATGTAGAAAGTTTCTGGATCTGACATCATAAGATAATATAACTTAAATTATGTCCACAAAAACTTAAATAAATCGATATAGATTTGCAATAACAAATAAGTGTACATTTAAAATTACTTTAAAATATGTCTTTAGTTTATTCCACTTTAATTATTGATTAAAACCAAGACTCAGGCCCTAGACTCAGATTACCTGGGCTTGAATCTGTCTCTTTTAACATACTATGCAACCTTGAATAAGTTATTTACCCTTCCTGTATCTCAATTTTCTCATCTGTATTGTATATTGTAGCTTTTAAGAATGATCTTGCTTAATAATTATCATGCTAGGCTCAAATGGGACACCCAGATATGATTCTTGAATTCAGTAAATGGGGCCAGTTAACATCCTCAGGCTATACTGACCTCCTCTCTCGTTTGGAGCCACTTTGTCTTGCTCTGTGTGATGCTGGCTTTAGAACACAGGGGGTTTGTTTGTCTTTCCCCGGAAATCTCAGGGGAGGAACTGTGCACTGGCATAAGGGAAGTATTTGCCTCCTCCTCAAAGTGACATGTCTTTGCAACACAGCAGACTTAAATAGGAGGGTCAGACTACCTGGTACCCAGAGATGTGCCACATCAGTTGGTCACACATGGTGTTGCTGGTCAGGACTGAGTGTAAGGCTTTCACAGCTGCATACATGGTGTGGTCATCTGTTGCCAAGGACATGAGGCCCAAGAGGATGGCGGGACCTCCAATGAAGTCCAGGCTGCTGGCTGCAGGACTGGAGTGAAACACCCTCACCCCTGTTTGGAGAAAGGAACATCTCGTCAGTCAGATGGTCACTGTTATGGAAAATCTCCCAGCAGCTTACAAGGTGCACCAGTGGTCAGTGTCACTGTCACCACACATTGGACAGGTGAGGTACAATGGGAGGTTCCCTTCGGAAAGTCGTAAGTCACTGAGAAGTCCTGCACCGAGTTCTTTCTAGGCCCTTGGACAACTGGAACTGACTAGACGATTTCAAATCAGCTTTCCAAAATGATACAGGTGTATCAAGGCACCAGTCATTACTGACAAGGTTGATAGGAACCATACAAAATGCCTTGAAGCTGCTGTAGGTTCTGCCTCACAGGGTCCACAGAGAAAAATGCTGACTGTATAGTCAAAGTCCCATCATCAAAAGCAGATAGGATTTAGACATAGAGTTGCCACCCTTTTTTTCCCTGAAATGCCCAGTGAGCCAGAGAGCATTAGTTTCCTTTTTGTTCCAACAACTTTCAGCACTTACCTGTTTTCTAGATGCACCTGAGCTGGAACTTTTGCTATCTCCTGACTGCATAGTCACCAGTAACCTCTGGCTTCTGCTAGCCCTCTGCTCAATGCCAGCTGCCTTCTGTATGCTCTAGTTCAGTGGTTCTCAACCTTCCTAATGCTGCGACCCCTTAAGATAGTTCCTCATGTTGTGGTGACCCCAACTATAAAATTATGTTCGTTGCTACTTCATAATTGTAATTTTGCTACTGTTATGAATCGGGTGACCTCAGTGAAAGGGTTGTTCAACCCCCAAAGGGGTCGCAACCTACAGGTTGAGAACCACTGCTTTAGATGATCACTCATTAGATATAGATTTCAGCTGAGTCAGTAGCTGAGTTCGCTGCCAGTATTTCCAACGTGGCACTGTGAACTGATTGCTGTAGATTGAAACGTGTGACCTTCAAGTGAAATGTTGATTTCCTAACCCCTGTTCCTGAAAATATGTCCATTTGGAAACGGTCAATAAGTCAGTAGGATGGCTTCTAAACCCAATCACTTCTCAGTAGTGTCTTATAAAAAAAGAAAATAAGACACACGCACACTCAAACGGAGGGAGGGGGTAGATACTGCGTCAAAGCCTGCCTACAAGCAGAGTAGTAAGAAATGCCATCAGACACCGGAAACGAGGAGAGAAGTTCAGGGGAATCGACATGGCTGAAGCCTCCATTTTTATTTTGAGCCTCTGTGACTGTGGGAACATAAATTTCTATTTGTTTAAGGCCACATACATGGTAATTTTTTGTAGAGCAGTGCTAAGCAATGTAGACACTAATATCCATGCTTGTGAGACTGACTCTCAGCTGAGCTAGTATTTCATTCCTGTCCCTCAGTGTCCTGGTCCCCATACATGCTCCCTTTTCGCTTGCCATTGCAGAATTCCGAGGCTGCACAATCAAAATCAGCACAAACCTTTCTCCCCAAATAGTGGTCAAGGTTCTCAGCCTTGCTTACCTAAGTGGCCCACAGCAGCTGCTCCAATTGTTCGAAGAGAGCCCGAGAGGTGGCCAGCACAATTTCTTAGCAAGAACACAGGCGTGGCATTGTCACGAGATGAAATGTTCATCTGGAGAATATGGTAAAAATTAGTTCTAAGAAATGTTCCCAGACATGAAAATGTCATAAGCATGCATTCCTGTGGTACTCAAAAAGTGATGGTCAATGAATGGATAATTATCTAGCCCATGTCAGAAGAGCAGAAGCTAAATTCATATCATATGCCCTGCTTCCAAGGCCGTGGTGCAGTCATAGGGCTCACCATGTTTCATGTGCATCCAGGGCACCATTATGGGAAGGAAAAGAGCTGGGGACACTTGAGGTGAGATACTGCTGCCCAAGGAGGGTTGCTACCTTCACATTTTGTGTCCTCATCATTTGGGTTCTATAAAGTATCCATTTTCTCTGGCTGCAGAAGGTAAAGAAGATGAGATTTCTGGCCTCCTTCCCAGAAGAGGTACTGTTGGTAAGTAGGCATGGTATTGCTGCTATTCAACTGGTTTTAGCCCCTAGGCCCCATCATCAGTAAAGGGAGGTATTATTTTATCCCCAAAGTGGAAGATTATGTAAACAAATTAGCCCAAATTTACCAGCACTCAGCAGAAGGGCTTTTTATGTAAAAAATAAATGAATAAATAAAAAGGAAATAATAAATCAAATAGCATTATTTTCTACAATGCATCCACTTGCTGCTTTACAGTTTACTCTTCTTTAAAAACAGTTAGTAGCACCCAGGGAAAGGGAGGCTTGATAGTGTTCTCAGGCTATAAAAGGCTTATAAAATATTCCATTTGTTCTTGCTCCATCACAAAGACCACCTGTTTTCTCCTTGGAGTGCCTACAAACCAAAGGTTTAGTCTTGGGAGATGCTAATGGTGGAGAGACATACGGATGTTTTAACAAATGCAGTTGGAAAGATGCTTATGGGAATCCCCTATACATGTGCAAGCACTGAAAGCTGAAGGCAGCCATGAGACAGAGTAGTACAAAGTGGAGCAGCACATGAAGTGTGAAGGCTGTACCTCTTTGGCTATCAGGCGGCTGTCCACCTCGTTGTAAGCGTGTCTTATTTCTGCCACACTGGTGGTGGATGAGCTGGCCACATGAAGTCCCAAGGAAACCCTCTCCTCCGCAACGAGAGGCATAACTTCACCAGAGTCCTCTCCTGAAACAACACACCCATCACGTTTACATATTTGTATCCTCATCTTACCAAGAAGGAAGTTTACTCCTCTCAAGAGTAAACACTATTGTTCCACAGGAAGTTAGCGGTATTAGTTACGGAAAGTTTTAGTAATATTGAAAGAGGGTATTAGTATACTGCTGCCTCCTATACTTCTCAGACAGAGAAAAACTGTAGGGAAATCTAACAAAATTGCCCTTACTATAAAATACAGGTAGTCCTGGTGTGGTATTATGAGAGCATAAAGTATCAATCAATAAAATAATGTCACTCTCAAAACCAAAAGGCTAAGTGGCAAGAAAGCAAGCTTGTGAAAAGGTGATAAACTGGCCTGCAGGCTAAGATTTTCCATGAGCTGTCCCCCAGTTAACAAGAGGACACCTGCTACTACAGAAGCATTGCATAAATATTTAAAACATATGGGGAAAGTTGTTGTTAACAGCTGTCGAGTCACTTAGGCTCATGGAGACCGCGTACACAACAGAACGAAATACTGCCTGATCTTGTGTCAACCTCATGATTGGTTTTAGGTCAGGTTGGGTTTTCATTGCCTGACTTTGTAAATAGACAACCAGGCATTTTTATTCCTAGTGTGTGTTCGTCTAGAAGCACCACTGAAGCCTAGTCAGTCTCATCACTGTTGCTATAGAATGCTCTCAAGGTAGTTATGACCCAGTGACCACATGCATATACAGTAACAGAATGAAACATTGCCTAGTCCCTTGGCCATCCTCACAATTGTTCAATTGGAGCCACGGTGTTAATCCATCTTCCTGCTTTTCACTGCCTTTCTATGTTGCCAAGCACGATGTCTTTTTCCAAAGACGAGTTATTCCCGATAACATGTCCAAAGCATGTGAGACAGTCTCACCATCCTCACTTCTAAGGAATATTCTGATACTTTAATTATTCTTCACCAGCACCATAATACGAATGCATCAACTCTTCTTTGGTCTTCCTTATTCAATGTTCACAAGCATAAGAGGCAATTGAAAATACCCTTCAGCATCATAGTAACAGGAATTCCTACTCTGGCCAGTTGGATAGTGGTTGTGTATTAGATGAATGGGCCAGAAAATAAACTCAGTTCTCCCAGCTGAAAGGCAAGATTTCTACCCCTGGGATTTTTGTAGAAGAGTGTTTTGGTCCATGCCACTTTCCACAGGAAATGAAGTTCAAGGAACACATTCAACAGTACTCAATCTCCCATCACCAAGGCCAAGGCTTCCTTCATTGATTCATTTATCATTCTCCTCCAAAGGTAGCTGACCCCTGACTTGACATAGCTCAAAGAGCAATGCTCCCTATTTGAACAGTCAGCAATCAATAATGAAAATGTAGATGTTTTGTCTGCCTGTTTAATAATTGAAGACAACAGCATACTTTAGTTAAAAAGCTTCTTCATGAAAAGAAATGTAACTGATTTATCTCATTCTGTTCTCTCTTTCTTTGCTAATGGGATTATTCACCCACCCTCTTCCATTAGGTACTTTGGAGTTAGGGCCTAACAGATATTTCCTTTTCTGTGTTTTTTTGTATTGAGTTGTAAATATATAATAATCCAATTACAGAGGTCTCCTTTAATGACTGACCTGTACTGAGTTTATTCTTTATAAATACACTATAAATAACTACAAATTCAATTAAACATAATATCAGCAAGGACATTATAAATCCAGACATTCCATACCTTGGGTGTGAATAGCTTGGAAGTTACCACAGTATCTTGGGCCAAGTTTGTTAATAACTCCCAGAGCTTCCATTGAGATGGCTTCTTCAAAGAAATATGTTGGACCAAGGCGCCAGAGCAATGATGATTTTTGCTTCCAAACTCGAGGAGTAGCAATATATCCGTACACATCCACAAATGAAGATGGATCCATGGAAAGGAAAGGTCCCGGTAAGGCCTGGATGTATAACATCTGTTAAAATTAAAAGAAGGGGCAATGCTGAACCTCAGGATTAATCAAATAAATACTTACTGGTGTAACATGACATACCTAATTCTCCTCTCACTGTAAAAACTGATTTTGTCTAAAAATTAAGTTAGTGAGTAAAACAAGTCATTCTCAAAGGTAGAGAGTATGTGGCAAAATAGCTTATAAAAGGCTAGTAGGTTAAAAATACCTGATATTGAGACATAAGAAATTTAAGAGTCATGAAAATTTGCCCAATTTCTGTCCCACTCTACTGAGAACTTAAGTGTGCAGTATGAGCACCTCAATAAAATTGTATGTGATAAAAATAATTACAGACATTAAGAATGCAAATGAAGAAATAAAACTACCTACATTTGAAAGAACCTAATTGACTACATAGAAAATCATAAGAAATCTATGAAAAATGAAAAGTAGACTCCTAGGAGTCATAAGTGAATTCAATAAGATCATAGGATACAAGAAAAACAATTAAAATTCACTTCTATATACTAACACGGGGCACAAAAACTGAAAACAATATCATTTATAATAGCTGCAAAGAAAATAACATACTTCATAAAATATGCGGATGATCTATATACTGAAATTTGTAAAATAACGATGAAAGAAATCAGTCCCTAAATATTGACAGATGTACAATATTTGTGGATTATAAGATGTAATATTATTAAGATAGCAATTGTTAAGATAGCAATATTAAGATAGCAACTTCCAAAATTGATGCATAAATTTAGTGCAAACCCATCAAAACTCTTTACAATCTTTATATAGTACAAGGGGGTCCCAAGAAAAAAATAGAATTGCACTTGATGACAAACCTCATTCTGGACATCTGTCAACTTCCCAGACAAAAATGTCGACATTTGGAATTCGTTCCACCAGGTTAGAGATGTTAATCAACCTTTCTATTTAGAGGTTCTGAAAAGATTGCATAACAGTATGCCACAAAAAAAGGCCTGATTTGTGGCAGATGGGGGACTGGTTTTGCCACCATGACAATGCACTTGCTCACACAGCCATCTCAGTGCACAGCATGATTCTCTTGCCTCACACACCTCTCAGCTGACATCGCTCTACCTAGCTCCACTTCTTTGTGTTTCCTCGAATTAAGAGGGACATGAAAGGACAGCAATTTGACGATGTAGAAGAGGTGAAGAAAAAAATGAGGGTGGTGCTGTCAGCCATCCAAACAGATGAGCTTGAAAAATGTTTCCAAGAATGGAATAGAATATTTGATAAATGTAATAAGTGTAATGGAGAGTACTTTGAAGGTGATAAGGCTGTTTTGCTTTAAAAAAATTAAATACATAGCTTTGACATAAAAATCCGGCCGGTGGGGGGGGTACTCCTTTGTATGTTCATAGACACAGACAAGCTAATTCTAAAACTTACATGGAAATACAATCTCAAGAATAGTGAAACTAATTCTGAAAAAGAAGAATGAAATAAAGTCCATGATACTGACCACACAGTGAAAGTACTATGATAGTGTGGTGTTGGTGTTAATGCTCTTAGTCGTTATTGAATCAGCTTTGACTCATAGCAATTCTATAGATAGGAAAAGGGATAGAAACATAGATCGAAAACTGAATTTGACCTAAATATATGCCTCATATAAAACCTAACTGATAATTTATTAGAAACAAATATAAAACTAGAGAACTTTTAGGGAAAAATTTTCATGACCCAGAGCTAAGCAAATCATAAGAGTGGATTAACTAGACATTTTCAAAACTAACATTGTTTCTCTGTAAAGAGGAAGAGAGGCAGGGGGTGGGGAAGCTGAAGGCTAGATTGTTTCTGTTATTTGGTCCCACTAGGTATGTTTCAACAACTAGCCACCCTGTACACAACCGATGAAAAACTGGCTACTCCTGCACCATCCTCAATTGTTTCTATGCCGGAGCCCATTGATGCAGCCACTGTGTCAATCCATCTCCTTGAAGATCTCGCACTTGACCAAACATGATGTTCTTCTTCAGGGACTGGTCTCTCCTGACAATGTGTTCAAATATGTAAGATGAAATCTTGCCATCCTTACCTCTAATGAACATTCTGGCCCTACTTCTTCCAAAACAAATCTGTTTGTCCTTTTAGCAGTCCATGGTACTTT